ATTTAGTGTGAAAAGTACAATGATAAAGCTTCTAGAAGAAGAGAGGATAATATCTTTATAAACTTAAGATAAACAACAATTTTTTTTTTAAAGAGAGAGAGAGAATTTTTTAATATTTATTTTTTAGTTTTCGGTGGACACAACATCTTTATTTTATTTTATTTTTATCTGGTGCTGAGAATCGAACCCAGTGAGCATGCTACCGCTTGAGCCACATCCCCAGCCCCATTTTTTTTTTTTAAATTTTTTTTAGTTATAGCTGGGTGCAGTGGCACACGCCTGTAATCCCAGCAGCTTGGGAGGCTGAAGCAGGAAGATCACGAGTTCAAAGTCAGCCTCGACAAAAATGAGGCACTAAGCAACTCAGTGAGACCCTGTCTCTAAATAAAGTACAAAATAGGGCTGAGGATGTGGCTGAGTGGTAGAGTGCCCCTGAGTTCAATCAAAAAAAAAAAAAAAAAAAAAAGAGTTCTGAGCAAAAAAATAAACAGTAGTGAAAGTGAGAGTAAATCTACCCCATGAAGGATGAATGGCCACATGAACCTTTGACTTCAGTGTCCACCATGGCTGGCAGATTCCATTCCTAATAGTCCCAACTGCACAGGCCCTTTTGTGTCTGAGTCATTCAGATTCTCTGCTCTGCACCTCTGGAAGCCCCCTTCTCTTGATGTCACCTGTTTTAATCTACCCTTCCTCCAACGCTTCCTCCATGCCACCTCTCTAGGGCCTTTCTTTTTTTTTTCAGTTTTTTTTTTTTTATTGGTTGTTCAAAACATTACAAAGCTCTTGATATATCATATTTCATACATTAGATTCAAGTGGGTTATGAACTCCCATTTTTACCCCAAATAAAGATTGCAGAATCACATCGGTTACACATCCACATTTTTACATAATGCTATATTAGTGACTGTTGTATTCTGCTACCTTTCCTATCCTCTACTATCCCCCCTCCCCTCCCCTCCCATCTTCTCTCTCTACCCCATCTACTGTAATTCATTTCTCTCCTTGTTTTTTTCCCATTCCCCTCACAACCTCTTATATGTAATTTTGTATAACAATGAGGGTCTCCTTCCATTTCCATGCAATTTCCCTTTTCTCTCCCTTTCCCTCCCACCTCATGTCTCTATTTAATGTTAATCTTTTCCTCCTGCTCTTCCTTCCTGCTCTGTTCTTAGTTGCTCTCATTATATCAAAGAAGACATTTGGCATTTGTTTTTTAGGGATTGGCTAGCTTCACTTCTTTATCTCACAAACCTGCTTTCCTTTCTTCTCTGGGTTCTTTCTATGTGGCATTTAATTAATTCTGCCATGTATTATAATCGATATGATTGTTCTCCCAAGACTGTCCTTCTGGAAGGTGAGGCTCAGATGTGATCATCTTGTATTGTGTTATTTGTGAAGAGCCCCACCTTACTTGAGATAAATCTGCTTTGCACCCAACTCCATGTAAGGATGGCTCCAAAGCAGGCTAGACTTAAGCTTATTATGTTCAAAGGACAGATTTTTGTTGTCAAGATTACTGTGATCTCAAAATAACCAAGGGATATAATACAAAACTAAGTAAAGGTTTGGGTAAATTATAAAAGACATGTAACATTCACTAGAAGACCTTTAAAAGAAAGTAAAATTCCTCATGATTGAGTTGATAAATTTATGTGTCTTTGTGAAGGCAAAGTAGATACCAAAGTTATATTAATGTTATTATAGAAATTATGTTTCTTGGTTTAAAGCTATTGTACAAACTGAATATGTTTTTGGTCTTGTTAATTTCATTTTGTATTTTCCTTGTAGAACTTACTAGCTTTTGCCTGTTAATGTTTTGAAGAAGTATTCCTTCTAACAGGACAACCTGAGTTAATTTTCAAATAAGCCATCACCTATAGGACAGACAAAATATTAGGCTGACTTCCAGTACTAATACTGACCTCAATTAAATGGAAGGGATAAACAAAATTAAAACCCAGTACACCCACTTTAAGATTGGCAAAATTGGCTTGATGGATGTTTAAAACCAAAACCAAGTTAAGAAAATTTAAGGGTTAAGGGAAAATAGCCAATATTTGGTTCTTGCCCTCTGAGGTCAGTAAGGACCCAGGGAACTACAAGATTTCTCTAAAGGCTTTGCAACTCTGGGCCATATTACTTCCTGATCAGGAGGATCAAAGGGACCCTGGAGAAGAGGAAGCCAACCAGTGCACATTCTGTAAAAAGGAAGGTCATTAGGGTGATGTCCCTGATGCTTCCAAGGGAAGCCACATGTGGTCAGCAAGACCCTGATCCATCCTAGTAGGTGGCACTAAAGAAGATAAGAGGCTTCTCACAAGTTCCCAAGTAACCCCTGAGGAATCTCAGCTGATTCTTAGTAATAGATAGAAAGAAACAAGGTCAATTTTGACCAATTTGATTTTATATACCTGCCAGGACAGTTTAACCAAAACCATAGTCGTACATGGGCATTTAAAAGAAAAGCCAATAGTTCTTTTGATGTAACTGGAGATGTATATTTATCAGTCCTCTCAAAAGTAAATAAAACTGGAAGTTATAAAGAAAGGGTTTTTGCACAGGAAAACTTGATACATGAGTTGGTTCTGAGTCAGTTCAAGACGTACAAGTCTTCCTAACCTACATAGGCAGACTTGATCTGTGTTTCTTCCTTTTTTTTTTTTTTTTTAACTGGTATGACTATTATAAACTGCCACTCAAACTCCCCTTCTAGAATTTGCCATTTATCACTTCCCTTCTGATGACTTGATTTTAATCAAGACCTGAAGAGAAGACAGTCTTCAACCAAGCTGGAAAGTCCCTTACCAAGTCTCGTGATCACCAGGATGGCTATCTTTAACTACTAAAAATGGGAAGACTCAGGGTGATTTCTACCTTGAAAAGTTTATATCTTGGATAGATGAATATCAAAGAGTATAATGAAATGAAACCAAAAGGTATAAAAAGAAAAAGAGGGGATTTCTGAGAATTAGAAAGCCTGATGGTCCATTTTCAGAATATAGTGTTTAGCTTTAATTGGATCCAACTATAGCCCTTCCCTTTTGCTCCTCATAATTCTAAAATTAGTTGATCATAGAGATTGTAACCCTGAACTCCTCTAATCAGAGTGAAGGGTGGTGCTGCACGGGGTTAGAGATATGAATCAGTGACTGCCTAGGTGTGCTTGCTAGCCAGGTTCCCATAGCATGGCCTTCTGTTAGAAGTAAGGGTTAGCCTTGCCCACCCACTTTCAAGCACATGTTTGATTTCTTGTGGCACCTCATTATTTCTAACATCACTGAAACAGTGAAAATTCAAGCCACATGCAAGATGGACTTGCCAAACTTCCATATGATATAAAAAAATTATATCTTGAATATATAAAGAATTCCTTAAAGCAGTAAGGAAAAGAAAGAAAATGATTTTTAAAATAGCCAAGGGCTGAGTATACAGTTCAGAAGAAGAGAGAGTTATTAGTATGCATAAGGCTCTGAGTTTAATTTCTAGCACCAAAATAATAAAAGTGGGCAAAGGACCTGAATAAGTACATCCTCAAAGAGACTATCCAAATGGTCGATCAGCACATCAAAAAATTCTCAATCCTATTAGCCCAAAGGAAAATACAAATCAAAACCACAAAAAAAAAAAATACGTTTACCCAAAGACCGAGAGTAAAGAGATTAAGGACAAGCCAGCATGGTGGCATACCCTTGTAATCCCAGCAGCTCAGGAGGATCACAAGTTCAAAAGCAGCCTCAGCAGAAGCGAGGTGCTAAGCAACTCAGTGAGACCCTGTCTCTAGATAATATACAAAATAGGGCTGGGGATGTGGCTGCATGGTTGAGTTAAAAAAAAAAAAAGACTAAAAACAATACTAAGAATTGGTGAGAATGTTGAGAAACATATCTTTGTAAAGCTGGTTGGGTGTAAACTACTTCAGAAGTCTGCTTGGCACTATCTGCTTTACTTGGATATAAGCATACTGTATGGCCCAGTAATTCCATTCCCAAGTGGGATAAGAACATACATATTCTAAGAGTTCACGTACAAAAGCATACCTGTACTATTTATAATAACTAGAAATGACTTAGTTGTCTAACAACAACAGAATGAATAAATAATAATCATACCACAGGTTACTAAATGATGAAGAAAGTAAACAAATTATAGCTATTTGCAACAATATGGACAAATTGTACTAACAAAACTGTGTGGGAAAAAAACAGACATCAAATATTACAATATTTTTGTTCCATTTATATGATATGCAGGCAAATCTAACTTAGTATTTGGGATACATACATTTATAGAAAACTATAAGCGAAATTGAGGTCCACAGGTATTTTAGGGTATTGTGAGGGATCATGGTTGGAAAGTCATATGAAAGGTGGCAACTGTCAATGCTGAGTTTCTGGACAGGAACACTGATGACATGGCTTTTGCTTCATTTGTAAACTTTATATCAATGCACTTTTTTCTTTGTGTGTGATATTTCATAATTAAAAAAAAAAACTACGTCAGGTATTCTTGCCCTATATGAACTTCAGAGACAATAAACACTGTCTTAGTAAACCAAGATTCTTACTAAAATAAATGCGAGCATTCTTAAAACCACAGAAAAAAATTTTAGAAAAATTCTGGAGGACAACATCTTGGGGTCTTTGTGTGAATTAGGAGGATGCTTTACCAAAAACTGTGTCTGAGGAGAATAAGCCTGTCAGGTGTACTGGGGAGGGGAGCTTATGCCCCCTGCAAGCAAAGAGAAGGGTTCCCTCCCCACAAGAAATGCAGCTCTCTGCATTCAGGAATACGGTCTGCAGGGAAGTCTGAAGATGGGCTTCCCACTGCCTCTGTTAGGCCTTTGTGCAATGCACAAATATCACTCTCCCTGGCAGTCCTGCCTGGGAAGAGAGAATGGTGACAATCATATGACAACTGGACCACTAAGTATATGCATACATGGAACATATCCTGGAACAGGACCACTACCACCCATGTATGTTACTGTTCCTTACCGCATAGCCTTCTGTCTTCTTCTGGCACCATTTCAGTAGTGCGTTGCGCTTGGAGCCGCCGTATTCACGAGCCAGGGCTGCTAGAGGGTCTCTTCGTTCCACACTTGTTAGAAAGAAGAACACATAGTAAGGAGAAGATATTGGCTTTTAAAACCCTCAAATATACAAGAAACAAGTAACTAGATTAGAAAAAAACAAAAGCCTAGGTTTATCCAGAGGGACTCCAAAGAGATAACTAAATTAGTCACATTTAATAATATATCTTATGTCTCATTAAATTAAAAAAAGCCTAAATCATGCTTCTTGACAATCCTAAATCTGGGGAGAGTTTAATTCTGTTTTAAAAATCCATCCATCTATGTATCTATAAACCTATTTATTTAAATATTTAAAACATATTTATTGGGTACTGGGGATTGAACTCAGGGGCACTCCACCACTGAGCCACATCCCCAGCCCAATTTTATATTTTATTTAGAGACAGGGTCTCACTGAGTTGCTTAAGGCCTTGCTTTTGCTGAGGCTGGCTTTGAACTTGTGATCCTCCTTCCTCAGCTTTCTGGGCCGCTGGGGTTACAGGTGTGCGCCACTGTGCCCGGCTCTTCTTATTTATTTAATGAAGCACAATATAATTTGAATTAAAGACCCTTATACATAACATAAAAAACAGATCTGAAGACCACACCTATATCTAAGCAATGTGTAAAAGGTAATGTGTAAAAAAAGAAGGGCATACTAAAAACACCAGATCTGCAGCTTATGGGAGGTAATAGGAGTAGAGAGGGAGGAGAAATAAGTAAGATAAAATGAAATGACTCCAAAACTGGGGTTTTGCACACACTGAAGTGATACTCAATTCTGTGTACCTGATGTAGCCAATGTCAAGGTGACTTTGCTAATACCTTAGCATCCCGTGACCAAAGGCTTAGATGCCCCATCCTTGATTTTCTAACAACTTTGACATTAATTTTCATGCTAACCCAAATTTCAAATATTAAATTTCAAATATTAAATATTCCATCATAAAATGCAAAATAGGGCCAGGGTGTTGGCTTAGTGGTAACTAAACTCACTTAGTAGTAACTAAACTGAGAAACATCATTACATTTTTAGTTAGCCTAAGACCCTCTTAGACTTGATTCTTCTCCCTGCTTAACACAGACCTATAAATAAAATACAAAATAGGACTGGGGTGTTGCTTAGTGGCCTAATGCCCGAATTCAATCCCTGATACACCCTCCCCCCCCAAAAAAAAGAAGTTATTTATCTTTCATTTAGCTGACCTTTGTTGGGGGAACTCACACTTTGTGGATGGCTCCTATACTTCTGTACATTAATAAATTTTGTATGTTTTTTTTTTCCTGTTAATCTATTGCCAGTTTATTTGATAGACTAAAATTATTAAACCTTCAGGGGAAGGTTGAAACTTTCCTACAGTATCCATTCAATATTTAATAAAAATCTTTTAAAATGATCTTTAAAAATGGAATAGGATGATCCTAGACTTTAGCAATATGAACCAAGGTAGAGATATTTTGGGAAAAACAGTTCAAATGTTAATTCAATTTTTTTTTGTGTACATTTTGATGAATGCTTTTCTGTACCTGATATATCTATGAAGTCACGCCTGTAAGTTTCTTTGGTCAGTGTTACTATTAACTACAAAGCTCTAGTGACCATGTCTAGCATTATGTTACCCCTCAAAACTGAGCTTCTGTGCCAGGCATGGTAGCATACACCTGTAATTCCAGCTACTCAAGAACCTCAGACAGGGGCTGAAGATATAGCTTAGTTGATAGAGTGCTTGCCTTGCATACACAAAGTCCTGGGTTCAATTCCTAGCATCACAAAAAAAAAAAAAAAAAAAAAAACAAAACCAAAAAACAAAACAAACAAACAAAAGAACTTCAGACAGGAGGATTCCAAGTTCAAGGCCGATCTCAGCAACTTAAGTGAGATCCTGTCTCAAAATAAAAAAACAGAAAGGGCTGGGCAAATAGCTCAGCAGTAGAGTGTCTCTGGATTCAATCACTACTACCATAACAAGAAAACAAAAACAAAAACTGAGCTTCTGCACTTTGCACATTAGAAAGGACAGAAATGAGGGGCTGGGGTTGTGGCTCAGCGGTAGAGCGCTCACCTAGCACATGCGAGGCCCTGGATTAGATCCTCAGCACCACATAAAAATAAATAAATAAAATAAAGGTATTGTGTCCAACTACAACTAAAAAAAAAAAAAAAAAAAAAGAAAGAAAGGACAGAAATGATGAAAGCTTGTAAAAGTTTCTGTATAAATATAAGACTAAAGCATTCAACAAACATTCTTTCTTTAAAACATAAGTTATCTAAATATGATCCCTTCCCCAAATTTAATAATTCAGGTTGAGAACTTCTAAAGTAAGTACTTGCTATTGTCACTGTCATGGGTTAATCTCAATGACATGAATATAAAATTTAAATAAAAAATTAATTTTACTAATTTAACCTTTCATGAGAAAGGTATAATGTAAACAGTATACTAATGTACACATAGCATTTTGAATGCATTTATGATACTAGTTTGAGAAGTGCACTAATTCTGGTCCTTAAAACCTATCTTGATTTTCTTAAATCTCTGCAAATAAACAGGACAATATATAATATTTAGGGATTGAAATTAAACCCTTAAAACAAATGATTTCATCTACTTGGGTCCAAATATAGTCTATTCCCAAAGATTCAAAATTGGCACTTATTCGGACTTTCATAAATCCCTTTCCATATTGATGATTATAATATTTATTATAAGTTGCTATACTAGACAGTTTTATATATTCATCTATCTACCAATTCATAAGTATATACTGAGTGAAATGCTGTGTATATCACAGAATGCAAGGGCCTGGGAAAGATACCAAAGACAAAATATCTACTATTCCCTAAATTATAACCATCCTGTGGACAAGGGCAAAGACTATGCAAGTTATTCACACTACAAAGCAGCGTACTCAAATGAATGTAAGACACCAAAGTCAGAGAAGGGGAACGTCAATGCTACCAAGGTGGTTAGTACAACTTCATGGAAAGTTTGAATTTGAAGAAGTAGCAGTATTTAGGAGTATAAAAGGACAAAAGGAAAGCATTTCAATCTAGCAAATAAATAAAGATCTAGAATCAGAAATGTTCGTGTTATATTGCAAAGGCAGGAAGTTAGGTAGGCTTGGAAGGAGGGGAAAAACTGGGCCATTCTAGCTGGTGAGTGGGGGTGGCACTAACTTGTGGCTTAGCTAAAAAACAAGGAGTGTGGATGACAAAGTAATGGGAGTTTCTGAGAGGTCTGCAGCGGGATGTACTCAGTGCTTCCGAAAAATAGCATGGAGAAGCAGGGAAGTCATAAGGGATACAGGAAGCAGCTGAAGGAGGTTTACTGGAGTCTAGGTGATCAGAAGCACCAAAGGGGAGGAGGTGGCAGAGGTATGGGAGAGAGAACAGACTACTGATAACCATCTTGCCAGGCTCAACATTATCTCCCTCTCTCACTAGAGCTTTAACATTCTTGCTAATGTTCCTTTAAACACTGATCTCAAAAATGCCTTTCTAATGCTTATTATATGCCACTGTGTTCTGATTAATCTGCCTTAAAGAGCAGGTCTGATCTTAACCACTATTCAAAAACAAAAACAAAAGCCCACAGACTTAGTGGTTCTCCACTGCTGTATCAAAATATGTAGGAACCTTTTCCTTGCCAATGAGGACTGTTTGCAACAGGCCTGCGACTTGCCTTTTCAGAGATTAACATCCTAGTCATCCATCTACCACTGAACCCTTGACAGAAAGCTGCTGTACACATGTCAGGGTCCCTGCCCTGAGAAGCCCAGGTTCTAGTTCCACATCTTGCTCATGATAGCACATTGCACATCCTGGCAGAATTTTCACATCTCTCTAGACTTCCTGATTCAATTAACAACCCCCACCCCCAGCACTGTGCCTATCTTTTTTTTTTTTTTTTTTGGCAGCCCTTCATTTCGCATAGCACAATATAGTATCTACTGTCCCTCTAATTTTTGACTCATTGAAGGCAGGTACTGTCTTTTTTTGTTGTTTGTGTGTGGTATTGAGGATTGAAGCCAGGGCGGGGGCTCTACCCCACCAAGCTCCAATTCCAGCCCTTTTTAAAAATTTTTTGAGAAAGGGTCTCTCCAAGTGGCCAAGATTTGCCTCGAGTGTTTGATCCTCAGCCTCCCAGGTAGCTGACATTAAACATGTGCCACTGAACCTGACTCAGGAACTGTAGCTTAATAACTTTCACTCAAGAGGTATATACATAAGTAAATTGTCCATGGGGGATAAAACAGAAGGAAGATAGTCCAGTGTTTTCTGATTTCTCATTGTTTAAAATATGGTACCTGAGTTTGCTTGGTGGTTTCAACCCCCCGGTGGAGGCGCTCAGCAGTCTGGTACTCCCGAAGCCCAGGGAAGGGGGTCTGCTCAGTGATTCCAATGAGGGACTCTTTCTGAGGTAAGGGTCTGGCTTCAGGTCCTCAGCTCTTCCCTTCAGAAGATCTGTGTGAACAACAACATTATCACCTATATTTGAAGAGGAGAAATCTGACAGGTCATCATACTTTTCTCCACTGAGCCACATCCCCATCCCTATTTTGTATTTATTTAGAGACAGGGTCTCACTGAGTTGCTCAGCACCTCGACATTGCTGAGGCTGGCTTTGAACTTGTAATCCTCAGCCTCCCGAGCTGCTGGGATTACAGGTATGAGCCACTGTGCCCGGCATCATACTTATTCTTAAGTACAATTCTTATTTTATTCTCAAGTACAAATATACAAACACTCACACACATATATATACACATACCCATGAAATTTTTTCTCCTGAAGTAACAAAAATACAAACAGGGACATGGTATTTGCTAATGATGCTTTAGGCAGTACCAACTACATAAACTACAGGATCTAGATGCCAAATTACCCTCTTGGTAAAAGATGATTATTAATTTAAAAATGACTTTATCAGAGCATTTAAGCAAAGTATGGGCCCTTCTAACAGGCTGTGCAACTACTCAGTTTGGATGCCGTGACCCTGTCCCTGTCCCCAAAGAACGTATTTTATTTTATTTAGTAGGCACCAGAAAGAATGAGCTGGCAGAAAAATGCCTCATGATTATCAGCTCACAGTCAACAGCAGAGAAAAATCTTGAGGACCAAGAATGATAACTTATAATTTTATAAGAAAAAAGTTATTCTAATCACAAGGTCTGGTTCACCAAAAATTTAGCAAAAATCATCCTTTTAAACATTCCAAATACTGTCATATTAGTCTGGGTCGAAACAGGTCCTCAAGTGGGCTGAATCCACCAGATAATCCTTAAAGCACCATAAAAGTAGAGAACAGGAGAAAAATTTTGAGAATGATTTATATTGATAGAGGAAATGACCTCAGAGAATCAAGTTCAAAGCTACAGGACAGGCCAGTGAGCAGGCTGAGCCCTGTGGTTGCTTCCTGTGGACCTACATATAGTTATAGAAGAAAACAATACTTCTACAGCTAACAGCCATCAATTATGGGTAGTGAAGTTGGGAGTGAGGCTAATTAGCTCTAAATACCCGAGAAAAATAGTGTTTACATCACTAAAGAGAACAACAAAAACAGCACATTAATCCCTGTTTCTGTAGCTTCTGATGACCTCAATGTTGACAAGCAATTTCTGGAAATGACTAAAAGAAAACAGTTTTCACTGTGTAATCCTTTCCTTATTATAGTAAATAATATTCCCATAGACAGGTGCCTGGTGGTAGATGAGGTGGGGAGGGTTGCCAATGAGCTATTTACTCCCAGCAATAGTTGTGGTCTCAACTTCGATATTTATCTTGTCAATCAAAAGGATGGTTTCTCTAGACCAATAGGAAACTTTGAAGCTGGTGGGACGTAGAGAAGAGGATACATATACTATTGTTCAAAGCTTACCTACCAAGTATATTTAAAAATGGTTAAGATGGTGAATTTTATGTTATGCATTTTTTACTACAATTTTCGAAAAAGCAAACCAAACACTATGCATATAATTAAGTTATTCCCTATTTTATGTTATGTAATAAGTTATGCAGTTTTGAAAATCAGGCAGGTTTTCAATCTTCTGTTTTGGCTTTCTCCCTCCCATGGGGCTCAAACTTTAAGGTGAGGCTAATACTCATTTACCATTTTGAAAATTCTGTGACTCTAAAAATGATACTAAGTCAACTGTGCTTATGCTCTATACGCCGAAGAACAAAAGTTTGATGACAGCATATCTGTTTACAATATAGCTTACTAAGTATGTTAAGCCCATTATTGAGAGCTATTGCTCAGGGGGAAAGATTCTTTTCAAAATATTACTGCTTATTCACAGTGCACCTGGCCACCCAAAAGCTCTGATGGAAATGTACAATGCAATTCATGTTGTTTTCATGCCTGCTAACAGAGCATCCACTCTGCAGCCATGGATCAAGGAGTAATTTCAAATCTTATTATTTGAACAATACATTTCATAAGGGTATAACTGCCATAGGTGATGATTTTAACAGTAAGAAGTGGATTATACACGGGGATATCTTTTTTTTTTGGTGTTGCTGGGGTTTGAACCAGGGCCTTGTGCATGTGAGGCAAGCACTCTACCAACCGAGCTATATCCCCAGCTAGACAGTAATATTTTAAGAGGCATATTTTAAGAATCGTGGAAACCATAGGCAAATTCAAAATAAGATAGATTTTAAAATTTTATTTGTTTATTTACTTATGTTAAAGAGTAGAAGAGAGACTGGGGTTGTAGCTCAGTGGTATATCACTTGCCGTGCATGCATAAGGTACTAGGTTCGAATCTCAGCACCAAAAAAATAAATAAATGAAGATATTGCGTCCATCTACAACTAAAAAAAAATTTTTTTAAATAGAAGATATTCTTTTGAGAATCAGTGTACATATCTTTGCAGACGTATATAAACGTATGTATGTACATATACATATATGTGTAATAGAAAACAACAACCAAGTTTGGCATTTCTCTTTGGGTCCATGCATGTTGAGACACCCTTTTGTCTCAGGGCTGCACAACTGGATATAACATCCACAAATGTCTACATGCAGTGCTGGAAATCAGTTGAAAAAAACTGATACCGATTAATTTCCTACATTCAGTTTCATGAAAAGGCAAGCAGAAAAGTCAGCCCCACAAAAAAGTAGGTCAAAAGAACTTCATGTTTAAGGTAATTTACCTGAGAGGGGAAGGTCTGGAAGATCTAAGCGCTGAGTCACACCTTTGTTGGCTGGCCTCAAGCTGCTGTAAGTCGAATGCCTCTATCAAAACAAAAGGGCACAACAGTACAGGTGAGCTTGTGACATAACAAACTCAACAGTAACAGGGCTGGGGGTGTGGCTAGGTGGTAGAGCACTTGCCTAGCATGCATGAGGCACTGAGTTTGATCCTAAGCACCACATAAAAAATAAAATAAAATATTATATAATTAAAAAAATATTAAAAAACCCACAATACATCAAGATGACTTATAAATAGGTAAAAGATCAATAACTCAAAAGAAAAACAGATAAAGCATATGTGATCACACACATTCAAAAGATACAAAATGGAGCTGGGGCTGGGGCTCAGTGGTACAGCACTTGCCTCGCAAGTGTGAGGCACTGGGTTCGATCCTCAGCACCACATAAAAAACAAATTAATACACATTAGATTGGATAGAGAGAAAGGATGGGAGAGGAGGGGAGGAGTAGGGAGGATAGGAAGGGCAGCAGAATAGAATAGACAATATGATTGATGTATGTACATTCCATGTATGTATTATATGTCAAAAGACATTCTGCTGTCATGTATGACTAAAAAAAAATAAAAATAAATTAATAAACAAAAATATGTGTCCATCTCAACTAAAAAATATTTTAAAAGATATAAAATGACCTATAAATATATGAAGTGCTCAACCTTACCAATAAACAAAGTAAAATAAGATAACACAGTTCATTTACTCAAATCCTCAAAATGTATAAAGGGTGTCAAAATTCTGGGAAAATAGCACTTTAAATAAGTGAGTGGAGCGCAAATTTCAAGGTAATATATCAAAATTTTCATGTGCCAAGAAAGAGCAAATCCATTTCCTTTTCTAGTAATTCATTTTCTATTACTCAGAACAAATTTGGGTCTCAGAATTGGCTCACTGAACTTCATTCTAGTCCCTTTGTAGGGTGACTCACTGAATTACATGAGACTGAAAAGCTAAAGGGTATATTTTTCAAACTCCCTCAAAGTTTGGTTCACCCAGTGATCTACCTAGCTTTTGTCAAACAGGCCCATTCTCAGAAGACCTGAAAGGGGCAAGGGAGGGTAAATGTGCCCTTCTGCGGCTTTTGCTGGCAACCATGGCTTGGAGGCATACTGCCTGTCTCTGGCAGGGATGGAGGTTCTGGTGTGTGATCCCATAACTTCATGGTATTATGAAGGAGGGGGTAGAGCTTGTGTTCTGCTGGCATGAACTGCACCTGCAGCAGTATGGTCCTGAAGCCGGCCCTAGATCCTGGCAAAAATGGGGGTCCTAGGCCAGCACTTAGTGAAAGAATTCCTGATTCTGGCAGAAATAAAAGATTCTTTTTTTTTTTTTTTAAGTTATTTTTGTCTTGTTACTCGACACTAAACCCAGGGGTACTTAAGCATGGAACCACATCCCTTTTTAATTTTTATTTTGAGATATGACCTTGCTAAGTTGCTGAGGCTGGCTTTGTGATCCTCCTGCTTCTCCCTAGTCATCAGAATTACAGGCATGCACCACTACACCCAGCTGCAGAAGATTCTTTGATGGGCCAACTTGAGATGTTTTGAGAACCTTTCCTAGAAGCTCAGAGAGACTAGAACCTTCTCCTCCAGTCCTTTCAGCATCAAAACCCCTGAATCACTCTAGCTTAACTAGCGAAAGTGATTTCTGATATTTGCAAATGAATGAATCCTAATACACTCTTACATAAAAATAGTTCCTTAGGAGGTCAAAAATTTGTACAAGGACCTTCACTGTACTGCTTTTATAATAAGGTAAATCCAAAACAATCTAAACATCCACCTGAAGGATATGGTTACCTACATGTCCTCCCACCCCACCCTAAACTCCTCCCATTACTTGGCCCTGCCTGCCAAGAGGGCCCTCCAAAAGTAACTAGCTCCTCCAATGATCTGGCTCTGCTTAGGCCCCCAGACTCTCGAGGTGGCCCACTGCCATTTTCCCCCCAAAAATGTGCTCCTCCAGTGCTGAATGAAGCATTGCCAGTCCATGGGGTCTTCTCCTTTTTTTTTTTTTTTTTTTTGTATTCTCTTTCATGTGCTTTCATCATCAATAGAAGAGTAGCTAAATAAACCACTGCATGTAATGTAGCCTTTAAAAAGGATGAATTATTTCTCCACATATTGACATATAAAAACATATTCCTTCATTTGTTGAACAAATATTTATTGGGTTTTTACTGTGATATGACTATTATGCCAGTCATTGTTCTAAACAAGAGACCTAATAGCAAGCAAAGTCTCAAAATGCCTGTCCTTATCACGAGTTCAAAACCAGTCTCAGCAACTTAGTGAGGCCCTAAGCAATTCAGGGAGACTCTGTCTCTAAATAAGGTATAAAAAAAAAGTTGGAGAGGGGCTGGGCTGTAGCTCAGTGGCAGAACACTTGCCTAGCCTGAGTGAGGCACTGGGTTTGAACCTTAGCACCACCTAAAAATAAAAACCAAACATAATAAAGGCAAGCTATTCATCTATACAACTACCAAAAAAAAAAAAAAAAAGGGGGTAGGGGAGCTGGGGATGTGGCTCAGTGATTAAGCACCCTCTGGGTTCAATCCCCAGTAAGAGAAAAAAAAAAAAAAAATTCCTGTCCTCACAGAATCTATGCTCCACATTAAAGTGAAATGAGTGTCAGAATAATATGTAATCCCATTTGTAAAGCGAACACACTGTCTTCTCCCCCCCATCCCACAGAGATATATGTAAATAAGAACATCTAGGATACACAACATGCCATAAACAGTGGTTGTTTGGGACCTTCTAATACCTGCATGGGAGAGACAGCAGCTGCTGGAGTGGTCCTTACTGGTATTCCACTTAGGGGACTTCTGGGAGTCTTATGGACAGAAATATTCTGTCCAGTTCCACCTAACAAGGAAAGAGATTGAAATATACATGTTTGTTCCAGATCAAAAATCACAAATAATAGTTCTCAATTTGTTGTTACTTTTTTGGTGACTTCAATATTCCATGATGTTCAGTGCACTATCCTTTTCTCTAGAGTGAATTGGGGAAATGTGAGGGGAAAAGCTAACCAAGTGGGAGTTGGTCTTGGATATAGGATAAATGAGGAAAAAGAAAATGTCTATGTAATAAGGTTCCTCTAGGAGGAAAGGAACAGGAAAGCCCATACACAAATCATTAACTGTTGATTCATTTCCTATCTGTGCTGTCTGACTCACAGTAAATATCAATAGTCTTATTCAAACACAGGAACAGGAACTACACCTGGAGGCTACCTGGTGGAAATGTACCTGGAGAAAGCTGCAGTTGTCTGGAGACAACTCTTTTGTTCCCAGAAGTGGGAAAACTGAAAGATGGGAGGGTAAACCCAGATGGATGTTATTGGAAGACCATAGCCTTGGGGCTGTTTTCACATAGATTTTGCTCTATGCTCTACTAGAACCATATATATAAGCTCCTAAATTAGCACACCAAAATAGGTTTTTCTGCTAACAGGCCTCTTCGTGCATAATGGGAGTTCTATTTCTTCTCTATTAAATAAATACTGCTCTGTTTATTCTTCCTATCTATGATTGTCTATGGATTTTATTCTTGAAAATTTACGAGACAAGAACCCAGAGAAAACTGGTGAAGTGGGGAATCTAGTCTCATCTCAAAACTTCAGTTTCAATGAGGCTTTCCTATCTTTGAATATGTATAGCCTAATATGTGAGGCCAGTTTAGCTGCAAACTATTTCAGCAGAGACAATCAAGTATATCCTAGGATTAGTAATTCCAAGCCTCCAATACAATGCATATTTGTTATAGTCAGGGAAGAAAGATCGTTTCTGAGGAGAGATGCACATTCTGTTTCTTCAATTTAATGAACTCTGTATATTACATATATATGGTCTGAATGTGTATTTTTCTCATATACATAAGTGAAGCCAGAATTAGGCAGTCAGTATAGATAGGTAAATCGAGTCAGATCAATCAAGGAGGCCAATTTTGAGTGAGTCAGGAAAGCTGGAGATTGTCCTCTGAGGGATTGAAAAGTTAATTCCTCCAGAGCCCTTCCTCCATCCTTACCAAGAACCTGCCCCTGTTGCCAAGATAACCAGTCCTAGGAATTGTCCCTCCCTACAGGGAGCTATAAAGTTGTTAATTAATGTGTCAGGAGCTGCACCATCCTGCCCTTCCCCCTTCGGCCTACCTGTTTCCCACCTTTTGGCTATCCCACCGAGCATTCCAGGGCCTAGTCACATACATGGGATGGAGAAAGGTAAGGGGAAGAGGGCAGGAGAACAAAGGAAGCAGAACGCCTGGCTTTTTGGGATACCAGGTACAGCCCCCTCTCCCTCCCAGGAAAAGTCCGTTACCCCTTTGTAAATAAACCCTGCTTTAGATGCTTGCCTCGGCGTGCTTCTCTAATGTTCAAACTTCAACATTTGAGGGAGCAGAACCCATCACTGGTAACTGGCAATATCCTAAGGGTAAGTTTAACTAAAGAGAAATTGTGAATCTGTCAGCCCATTACATTAAAGGTGCAAATGCACCAAGATCAGGAATGACCAAAAAAAATAAATAAATAAATAAAAATCAGCACCAGAACATGCAAGATGAGGTAGAAAGAAGTCTTAACAGCACACTGCCAGGTAAGAATGGCCAGGGTCCCAACAAAAAGGATGAATGCACAGATAGGATGCCTCGTTTCCTGGAAGATAAAGCCTCTGGCTGACGCTGCTCATTCTCAGGAGATGTGAAGAAGGAAAACAGTAGTGATCTGAATGTAACGGCTACAAGAAGCAGAAAAGGAAGAAGGCGGCTAAGCAGAAATTAAGAGGTTGGGAAGAGGTGTAGAGAAAAGGGAGGCTGTGTTTGTTTTATCTATGAGCTAGACTCTCCGTTTTGGCCTCTGAGCCTCTGCCGGGCTCCTGCATTCTTCATACAGTGGCTGCCCAAGGCATGATCTAGAAAGAGCCCTGGTGGTCATTATGGAGCAGAGATGATGTGTCAAGACATGATTTGAATGTGGAGCTTTGCTTTTGGAAAAAAACTATTAAATACCTGAGCGTCCCAAGTCAAATGACTTGATCAGTGACTTAACAGTCGTTGCAGATTCTGCAGGTGCTGGAGCTGTTCTGGTGACGTAGACGCCATGCCACCGGCCAGCAGCATCGACCTCTGAGGGCTCAGATTCTTCATTCACAGCTCTGCATAGTAAAGAGCATATTAAATTGAAAAGGTGGAGGATGTCCCCATGGGGAAAAGACACGGATGGAAATAGAACCAATACAGAGAAAATGCACAAAGCTGGAAGGAGAATTATAAATTTAAAATGCTGTTTCCTGGATCAGCTTTGCATCTTTAGGAAATAACATACTACTCTCAAATTTTCAGAAAGAGGTGTTCTCTAGGAAATGGTCAGAAATAATGTTTATATGTAGAGTGACTTGATGGTACCTCTAAATAAATGAGTCTACTCTGCAAATGATGAAAAAATGAAGCTAAATGTTTATTTAAACATTTAGCTTCCTATCAATGGCAGATGCTGATTAGCTTGTGGACATTTGTTCCAAACCCCAGGTAGCATACTCAGAGGTTGGAAAGATGAAATTTTGGGACTCTCCTGCAGCTAAGATTTCAGGTTCCACCAATCAGAAACACTTGAGCAAAATCTGGAGTGAGACCTGAACTCAGGGAGAGAGGCAGGGCATGGGGCATTCACTATGGTGATACAGACTGTAACAGAGACAAGTTGCTTCTAGTATTGGCAATGGTGGTTGTAGCTTTCCAACTAGGCAGGCAGCCTCTCAATTTTAAGGCTCCCCAACATGGTGGAGACATAAGGGACTTTGGAAACTCATCCTGGAAGCTTAGCTAGGAGTCTTGTTTCTTTAGCCCTCCCAACAACTCTGCAAGCCATTTAATATCTTTTTGCCTAAGCCAACTAAAGTGCAATACATTATATACAACAGAATCCTGCTTCAATATCCTGTTGACCCTCTAAATTCTGTGTGCTATTAATCTTCTACTCTCACCAGAATTTTTTTTCTCCTTCTTTTTTCTTTTTGGTGTTGGGGATTGGACCCAGGGACACTTAACCACTGAGTCACATTTTCAGCCTTTTAAAAAATTTTTTATTTTGAGATAGGGTCTTGCTAAGTTACTCAGGACCTCAATAAGTTGCTGAGCCCGGCTTTGAATTTGCAATCCTTCTGCCTTAGCCTCCTGAGCCCCTGGAATTACAAGGGTGCACCACTGTGTCTGGCCACCCAAATTTTCTGGTAGGTTCTTGGTGTGGTTCCTAAATTCCTGCACAGACTCATAGGAGAATCTTTTAAAGACAGAATATGTGATTCTATCCTCTCATGCATGGCTTCCTCGTCTCATGTCATTTAATCTCCTTGTGAATGAGTCAACACAAGAACTCCCAACCTCTGATTGCTAAATCACTGCTGAAAAAAAAAAATCATATTGCCACAGCTGTTTTGCAAGATGACTAATTTATGAGAATGGATCAAATAAAATATTTCTGGCAGTATATTTTAATAAGGTCAGTAGAAGTTTAAAATACTTATTTCCTGATCTTTCTGAAAGAAACCTTAATAAGCTTCTGCAATTGAATTTACTCATCCTTAATCCTCTTTGCTTTCTTCTGTTGCTATGTAATCAACAGAGAAAATTTTAATGAAGCAGTGTTTTAATTTAAAACACTTAAACCACTCTGCCCTACACTCTTGACCTGACTTCCCTTTCTTTTGAGTGAAAACAAAATTAGCAAACTCAAAACTTTTTTGGAAAAAACTATCAGAAATTGTAGGGGGTTTGGTTTAAAAACAAAATTAAAGGTTTATTGAAAGGAGTTAGTTGTTGTATTTCCTCCTTGTGTTACACAGTATAAAACCAGATGGTGAGCTGGGCACAATGGCACAACCTACAGTCCCAGCTACTCAGGAGACTGATGCAGGAGGATCACTTGAGTTCAGGAACTTGAGGCCAGCCTAGGTAACATAGAAAACACCCTGTCTCAAAAAAACAAACAAACAAACAGTAGAAAAAGAATAAAATAAGGTTAGGTCTAAGCAGGGGAAAAAAAAAAAAAAAACCTCCTTTTTATCACAAAGATCATCAACAAGGTAGGATACCTTCTTACCAGTCCACTTAAATGACTTGCTATCAAAGTATCTCTAAGGAAGATCATTTTCTAAAAATTAATTTTAATTTCACTCCTTGTTAATTAAATAAGAATAAAATGGAGGATCCTACCTTCTGTTGAGGTATTCCTAATTTTCTCTTTGATTCAAAACATCAAATGATAATTAAAAAGACTCACATAGACTTCATAAGAAAACCATAAAGCCCTGCCTTCAGATACCAAAGATGATATTTCAAATGATCAGTCAGTATGAGGAAGCTAAGCAAATTATGTAAGTAGATTAGAAAAATACCCACTAGATACCCACCATATCATATAACTCTGTGTGTATGTATGTGTGTGTGTGTGTATCTCACATGTGTGTAGAAGGGATACACAAAACAAAGTCTGAATTGAATAAACATAGAAAACAGTTAAGAATGTTATTGTTTTTTTTTTTTTTTTTTTTTTTGGTGCTGGGGATTGAACCCAGGGCCTTGGACTTGCAAGACAAGCACTCTACCAACTGAGCTATACCCCCAGCCCCTACTGGTTTTATTAGTACAGTTAAACATCCATTATCTAAGAATCTGAGATCTAAAATTATCTAAAATCTAAGACTTTTGAGCACTGACATAAAGCCAGAAGTGGAAATTCCACACAACCCCATAGGACAAGTATAGGTAAAGCACACATGCACTAAAAATATTGTATAAAATTACCTTCAGGCTATGTGTATAAGATGTATATGAAATATCAGTGAATTTCGGGTAAAGACTTGGGTCCCTTCCCAAAATACCTAATTATGAATATGCAAGTATTTAAAATGTGAAAAAAATCTGAAATTCAAAACACTTCTGGTCCCAAGAATTTCAGCTAAGAGGTACTCCAGCTTGAACTTTATTTTTAAATAAACCCCGAAATTCCCTATACCAGATTGTTTTTGAATTGTTAGAACCCAGCAACAAATGAAGTATTACATTTCCTCTGTTTTAAAATAGAGGGCTGGGGACTTAGCTCAGTTGGTAGAGTGCTTGCCTTGTATGCACAAGGCCCTGGGTTCAATCCCAGCACCTCAAAAAAAAGAGGGGGCTGTGCTTATAGCTCAGTGGTATAGCTGCTTGCCTAACATGTGTAAGGTACTGGATTCTATCCTCAGTGCACATCAAAATAAATTAATAAAATGAAGATATTATTTAAAAAAATAGGAATTCTGCATCCCACAAAGAATATTAAGAAACATTTAATGCATGTAGCCAGGTGTATATCAGCAAATGCATTAAATAAAAGAAAAATTGTAAGATACCACTATCAGGTACATATTTGTTCAAGAGTAGTTATTGCCTTTAAGACCGAGTTTAGGTTCTAAGGTCAACCTGAAAATAAAAATCACACATGTAATCAAATATACCTTGAAAATCTCTTCTCACACAAAAGTACAACTTAGATGATTTTGTAAATATGATTACATACAAACATATCTTTCAATAATTCTAACATATAGGTTCCCCTACCACTACTAACAGAAATTAATTTTTTGTATTTTGTGTTAAGGAGACATATTTAAAACAACAGAAATAAAGAATGTCTTCTCTCTTCTCCCTGTGTATAAAACTATAGTCATTATAATTTTAGCAAAATAAGTGTATATAACTTCTCTGTATATGCTAGAAAGTATACCATATATCTTTAAAACATTATTGATATTAATTTTCTATAAAATTCCATACTATTATACCTTACTTTAGAAGGAAAAGTTTGACAGAGGTCCCATGGCTCTTAAGTAGGGAATCTGAAATGCAAATCCAGCTCCACTGGTTATGCTTTTGTCAAATTTTCCTTAATGCCTGAATGTTCCATGGAGGCACACAAAGGTTCTAAAGTTTCTTCTTAAAATTTATTTTAAATATATTTAAGAAAAGGTTAAATATCTTAAATATATTTAAAAATTATATTTATTTAAATATATTTTTAAAAATGATGTCAATATTTATTTCAGTAAATAAATACTATTTTTACGCAAGAATTTGCTTGTAGGAGCTGGTAACAAATAATCTGAATATGACAAACAGAGGTCAGATACTTTCAGATACTTTGGCACATGAACCCACCACGCGCATACCCATCAGCCACAGTGAGACGCATGTCCGCCACTCACAGAGTGGAAGTCTACCTTACATGCCTTAGTTTTTATATGTGTGTGCATGCGCATATATGTCTATAATTATTTTTTTCTCTAAAAATTTCATTTAATCTCTCCAATTCATTGCTTTCCTTGTTTGGTTGTAGAACAGAGTCTTCAAATGACATTGATTTTCTACAATATTCACTTCATCAAGATGCGACTTGGTGTAGTCTATTTCAATTTAAGCATAGGTGAGCTCCTACACAAGACAAGATGATTTTTTTTTCACCCTGGTGCTGGGGTTGAACCCAGGGCCTACCAAATGAGCTATATCCCCAGCCCTACAAGATGATTTTTGAAGTATTCAAAAACCCAAGTAATTCCACTTGGGAGACACCGAATTACGCCACTGTTAAATTCACAACTGGCAGATTATTATTTGTTAAAAGGACTGGTCATGCCAAACACATGATTACAATTGCTGTGGCTCCTGGAAACGACCCTGCCCCAGGCCTCTCCTGGGGCCGTTCGGGCATACTGCCTTTGACTTCCACTTGCCCATCTAGTTTTTTAACTCAACCCAGATAATCAAGTTTTGTTCCTTTTATGTCCTACCTCTGCATTTTGCTCATTCTATGCCCTTGCCTGAAATATACTTTTCTCAAAATACTTTTTTACTGTTTTGCACAAAACAAATCTCCCCCCCCCCCCCCCCCCCTCAATACTGAGGAATGAACCCAGGGCATAATACATGCTAAGCAAGTGCTTTTGCACTGAGCTACAGCCTCAGCTCTATAAAACAAATCTAAAAGAAGTTTGTCACTTTGCTGTGAGACAGAAATTATGAAGTATTCTCTTAGGTGTCAAACAGTATCTTCTGAACTTTACCTTCCAATTGCAATATTGGCATTCAGAACTAGTAAAACAAAGAGGAAAAAAACAGCAATTGA